AACTGGGACTACAACCTTCTGGAAAAGATCAAAGCCAACAGCTGAAGATCTCCATTATAAACCCCAAAACATGTGAAGGTGCAGACATTAGCATGTTTACAAAGGAATGGATTTTTGTAAAACTCCTCTAGGTGAAGTGTGCCTATGTATCCCATCATGCAAAGGACTGTGGGAAAATCTAAAGCTCCTAGCAGCAGCTAGAGACGTCAGGATGCCCCTTTGCTAACTTCATTAGTGCTAGGCAGCTAATTTCATCAGCGCCAGGCAAGGCCCTGCGACTCCACAAGTCCATTCTTTAGGAATTTGGTTTGGTGAGATGCTATGAATCGGACCCATCAGAACCGATGACATGATGGTGGGGAAGAGCAGTAAGATGCTTCTGCAGGGGAGAACCTGGCGGCGGGTCGTGGGGTTCCTGCTGGAGCTCCGATGCCTCAGGCTGAGGACGGCCTTGCAGGGCCAATCAGAGGGGAGGGCGGGCCTTCAGTTCAATTCAATTGTTTATTTCTGTAGCGCCAATTCACAACACATTTAATCTCAGGGCAATTTATAGAGACAATTCAGCCAGATCATCCAGTCAGATTGATTCAGTTTTCTATTTAAGAAAAACCAGCTGATTGCATCGACTCATTGACTCTTCAGCAATCCCTCACACTAAGCATGCTTGTAGTGATAGTGGAGAGGAAAAACTCCCTTTGAACCTGAAGAAACTCCAGCAGAACCAGGCTCAGTGTGAGCGGCCATCTGCTGAGGCCGACTGGGGTTCAAGGAGACAGAAGCAGAGATAGAAAATGAAGCAGAAATACAAAAAACAACAGTCAACCAGCTCCACCTGGCTCCGAGCTAGTTCCCATGTCAGCGGATGAAGAGAACACATCCAGTTAGTCACAGTCAGAGAAACAGGACTACACTGGAAAACAGGCCGATCTCCAGCATCTAGAAACAAAGGTGTTGATGGCAGCAGCACAGCTGATATTTCTCTCCAGGATGGAGTCACAGCCAAACAGGAACAGACCAGATGAAGCTACTATGAGAAAAAGCAGAGAGAGCAGAACGTTAGAGATTGAACTAACAGATTCTGCAGAGGGGGAGAATAGAGAGAGAATGAAGCAGGATGATGAAAAAGGGGTCCCTATGTCCTCCAGCAGTCTAAGCCTATAGCAGCATAACTATAGAGATAGCTCAGGATAACCTGAGCCACTCTAACTATAAGCTTTATCAAAAAAGTAAAGTTTTAAGCCTAGCCTTAAAAGTAGACAGGGTGTCTGCCTCACGGACTAAAACTGGTAGTTGGTTCCACAGGAGAGGAGCCTGATAACTTCACATCCCCCGATGGCCCGGGCCGCTCCCTCACCAGGGATGATGGGTCATCTTCCTGGCATACAGCTCCCAGTGGGTCCCAAAATGGGAATTCCCCCCTAGGCATGAGGCCGCCACCATTTGGTCTGAGAGGCTCCCCTGGGCCGTGAAGAAGCTCCGCCCAATGATGTTCACCTGTTATATAGATTATTGATCAAGTGTTCTGAAAAACAAAAAGCATTCTGCTTCTTGGTCCTAGCTTCTTTCTAACTGCCAGTACTATTCAGAAAACACTAATGGCGACCATGGACACACTTCTGCAGGAAGTGTTGTTGCAGATTCTAGGTATTTAGATCGAGACAAAGCTTCTCCATCCTGGGGAAACAGTATCTTTAAGGATGGCTCTGTTAGGAGGCCCATCGGAGCGAAATGTTGAGCTCCTGTTGGGATTAGGTTCATTATTCATTATTCATGTTGGTCCTCAACTAGAAAAACAGGGTTTCTGAAAGGTCATTTTACTGCAGCTGGTCTGTTTTAGTTGGTCTGGTCTCTATCTGTTGGGCTGAATTTGAACACTGTTTAGATATCTGAGCTGAAATAAAAACTATAATCCTATAAGCCAGGGCAGTTTTTATTTTCCGCTCCAGAATAAAGTCAGGTTTTCAGTCAGCTGGAGGTCAGATCCAGCAGAACTGGCCTTTAGAGGATGTTTCTAAGCAGCTCAGTGGGTTTAGAGGAAAACCTGAGATGTTTTCAGAACCACGTCACAGATGAAGAGCAGCAGAGCACCAGCTGCTGCTCATTGTCAACAGAACGGGGCTAAAAAAGGGCCCATCTGCAGCTCACATGTATGCAAATGTCCTCTGAGACCACAGCCTGCCTGCCTGCCTAACAGAACCAGGACACACGGGTTCATTCAGGGGGTGAGAAACCACAGAAATGGCTTTAAAATCAGTGAACTTTCTGGTGCCTATGTTCACACTGATGCCATTTCATCGTCATGTTTGTCCCCCAGAGTCCCTCCTGTTCCTCTGCAGGGCAGAGAAGAACAGAACCGGAGCAGCACAAGATGGCTGCCTGGTTATTTATAGGCCGAGCTGCTGCTTCTGCTGCAACCAGAGACCTGCTAACAGCCGGCCGGTGGGGGAGGGGCGGCGCCATTGTGTGAGTGACACAAAGCGAGCCGCCGATGATGAGGAGCTGCTCTTCTTCTACATAAGAAAGGAGGAGGGGGGGCAGATTTACAGCTTGGAGGGGATTTTTTATTCTGCCATGGAGGGGGGGGGGTCAATATTCATGGAGGGGATTTAAAAAAAAAGGAAAGAGGGGGTTGGGAGATGAAGGCGACGTCTGATTGGCTGCAGCTTCCCGCCCCCTCACGACAAGCCTGT